ACCACCATTATTATTGTCACTCGTCATGCCGAACAAGCTCACAAACACTGATTAGAAACTACTTGTAAAACCTCCCGACACGCCATGATTGATGTTGTCACCTCCCTCCTGTAGGTTCAGATTTAGGTTTAGATTTAGACAACGGATCAACATCATGGCACACGGGCAGTAACCCATAAGTGCTCCGTTCTACTTCTGACTCAAGCCTGAGTCTGAAGAATCTCAGCGAAGTGCACCCATTCTGTAGCACCAGCGAGGATCCCTAAATACTTAAGGTTCAATTTTAACTCCAAATTTTGAACGGGCAACACCGTTAGGCAAGTCTTTTTCGATTTCCAACTGCTTAAGGATTCTTTATGTGCGCAACAATACACACAGGCATCCGGTGTTACTTCCCAGAGACCAGGCGAAATTACTTGAAGTGCACGTGAAAAAAAATCCCAAACTTCACCGAAGATTTGAACCCGAAGCCTCCATCACTCGAGGCGATCACCATGCATGGGGATACGCAGCTTTAATTTATAAGTTTTCTGTTTCCTTATTGTGGCTGGGTTGATGTGGGAGCCAAGGCCGTTTGATCAGAACCGAACTCGATAACAATTACCTCGTCTTCTTCACTTAACGTTCACCGGCTGAAAACTCCGGCGGAAATTTCTAATTATTCGTCCACTTCTGGATTTTGATCCTGTTCCAGAATTTGCATACACACCCATTTCACACAGGGAACTGTGGATTTGAATGCAAGACTGTCAACCTGAGTCGTCGTGGTGCAGCACCTAGACGCTGGCCTGTGGATCTAAAAGTCGTTGGTTTGGGTCCTCACGGACCCGGACGTTGTTTCTTGTTTCAAGGTCGACCAAGTCTTGAACGGGTACCAGGTGCAGTCATGGGAAATAAAGGCGGTCGGCATGATGCTGACAACATCAGATACTAATTTTTGAATAGACTTCAAAATATAGGTCTAGCCCTATATGTCCTGTCCGACATTTGTTTGTCTGTGTCTTGGAGTAAGAGTACACCCTAACAATTCAAGACAACTCACCGTGAGTTCATTTATTACTCTCATGTAATAACCGACTAAAACAAACTATATCTACCCAGTTAACCGACTGGAATAAACTATACCCGCCCAGTTAACCGACTAAAACAAACTATATCTGCCCAGTTAACCAACTGAAACACACTTTATTTGCCCAGTTAACCAACTAAAACAAACTTTATCTGCCCAGTTAACCGACTGAAATAAACTATACCTGCCCAGTTAACCGACTGAAACAAACTATATCTGCCTAGTTAACCAACTGAAACAAACTATATCTGCCCAGTGAACCGACTAAAACAAATTGTATCTGCCTAGTTAACCGACTAAAACAAAATATATTTGGCAGGAGAAGGTGCGACAAAAGTGCAGCCGGATGTACCAGTCACATACCACCAAAAGAAAAGAATAATTAAATCAATCAGGAAACCACCAGCCCCAGCACAAGACGACTATTTTATTATGGACAGACCAGAACAAGTCATTATCCTCCGCCTCAGAACAGGGCACAACCGATTCCATGTACACAAAATTCAAGATAGGCGTATCAGCCATGTGCACCTGTGGAAAGGTGCCCCAGACAGCAGAGCATGCACTCCAGGACTGGACCGAATTTGACACATTAAGGCAAACCTATTGGCCACAAAGAACAACAGTGGAACTCTAAACTCTATGGACCACTGAATGAATTAATAACAACAGTGAAATTTATACAAGAGACAAAATTGCTGATATAGACAACTTTTTTCAGGCGAACGAAAGAAGAAGAAGAAGACTCTCATGTTACATTCATTAACTGTCTTTGTTGTCCCATTCTTCTGCTACATTCATTCTTACTACCACAGGTACCTCTGAGGCTCATCTAAGCCACTTTTCTACCGTTTAAGTTCTCTAATTTGAATTCACTAAAGTGAATACATGCTGGTACCGGAAAGGAATAATTACAGGACAAGCTGTTTGCAGCAAAGCTGGAAAGGGGAAAAATAACTAACTAACAGTGCACGTTTGTTCCTCTCAAATAATTACTGTGACGCAACATATGAATACGAATCGTGAACAATTCCATCAAACATTCAAGAAGAACGTCGACGTTTATGAACATGAAAAATCACAAGAAACGATGTAGGAATACCGCGAATCAAGGAGATAAAACCAGGCTGGTTTTTGACACGATCTGAAAATCGAAGAGAACAAGCTCATAAACCGTATCAGGTGGCAGAAACTGAATTACTTTGGCCACATTTAACGCTGCGTTGACCTAGGACGAACAGAGCCGGAAGATATGACTTCTGTGGGAGCAGAGAGGGGCGGATGAACCCAAGAACAAGACGTTAATTAAATCCTGGACAAGAAAATAAATGAGACAGGAAAATTTGCAGATGATGGGGAGTCAGTCCAGCCGGGCGTGAATGGAGCGACATTCTTCAAAGAAACTGTTACATGAAAAATAATAACAGCAATAATAACAGTCTGTTGGATATGCCAAATGTTCCAGGTTATGTATTTATTCAACATTAATTAATATTATGGTTTCTGTTATTGTCAATGCTATGTTTGCACTAGAAAAATGATAATAACACAAACAGCAACAACAATAATAACACAAAAAAAAAATTGTTATAATAAATGTTAGCCCTTACTGCTAAAAAAACAAAACAAAAAACAGTGATGCAATTCTCATTATCTATCTATTCTGTACGCTCAAATCAGTGATGACGATGACAATGGAAATCATTGCCACGGCGCAGACATCCCATGTTCAGTCAAACGGAACATGCATGCAGCCATCTGTGAACACATCAAATACTTGTCTTTGAAGAGCGGGAAATCATTGCCGATTTTTGACACCTGATGATCTATCTATCTGTAGCACTTGAGTTTTGTTTTCACATGCTAAAAGTCTGACTAATTCACGCGAACACATTACAGAAATCGGATAAGGAATATTACTATATAGGGGGAAATGTGGGATATAATTGTGAGAATGGGTGCGATAATTTATCGGAATGAAGTCTACCCAGCGCTTGCGGGTAATGATAGCCGTTGGGAGCCGTAATGGAGTGGTGGCTGGACGCTCTCCTGCCCGTCCAAAGGTTTTGGGATCGAATCCGTATCGGGGCGAGTAATGGTTTTAAAACGGACCTTATCTGCCAGGACTAGCTGCCTTAAATGCGTGCTAAATCGGTTTCTGTTTCTGTTTCGAGTAGACGGGAAGTAAACTACGGTGGAATGGTTGTTCGTCCACTGCTGGAGTTTAGTCTTCTTCAAGAACTTGAGATTTAGGTGCTCATCAGTTTTATAAATTTAGCTTTTTTGTGTACAGACTGTTGGTTCCTTACCTCGCAGGCAGACGCACTCTAACTCTAACTTCGTAAACATCCCTAATTAGTCGTCTTTTACGACAAGCTTGTATGGGAGGCAGATTTGGTTTTGGAGTACTATATAATGTCATGGGAATTTAAGCGGTCTGACCATATCAGTCACCTCGTACCGCATCAGCCACCTTGTGCCGACTGGTCCATGAAATACGAGTCTAGCATCAGATGGCAGAAGCACCACAGCGGTTAAAGTGCCAAGTGGTCAAACTGAAGGTCGTGGGTTCGTTTTGCGTCTGCGAAACTCGGTTTACGGGCGAAATTCTTACAGAGATTTCAGAGGATCGTCCTCACAGCAAGGAAGATCGTGCTTTGTGCGATGCTGTCAGCAGGAAGCTAGTGGTTCTACGGAGAGAGACTGAACCTTGAGGGACACAAATCGGTGCAATGAAGTCGAGCCTCTGATCTTGAACTGTAGGTGACCTACTTCTACTTGATGTTCTTCACAATCGCGGTATCTCTATTGCCAGTCTTAGCTTTATCAGCGGAGGGTCTCTGGCAGACATTGTAAGTTTACCGAGTGTTCGTTTCCCAGACAGTGAGAAAGTAGGAGTGTGAATGAATGAAATGAATGAATGAATGAATGAATGAATGAATGAATGAATCAATCAATAAACTGACATCACTGCACTCGGGACATTCCTACCTGTGCTCCGTTTCACACTTCCGTTGCCTGGCGAACAGTATTATTTGCAGCCGGATTAAAAGTGAGGATATGTTTGTCCAGTCAGTGATAAATATCTTCCACCACCTCTACTCCCCCGCATTACTCTGACTGTATGGACTTCCTTGTCTGTTCTAATGCACTGTCCATTTGATCGTAGAGAGACTTCACCACGTCCTCTTTATCATAAAGTAGCTTACCACACAGAGGAATGGCATCTTCTAATTTATCAGCGTGAACTGAGCGAGATTCATTCTTCATTGGTCAGTGAAGACAAAGTAAAAGGTAGAAAATGAGAAAGTAAAGAGCCCGTCTCACAACCGCTGGCTCACTGGGCACATAGGGCTAGATCTATATTATTTAAGAGCAGCGACGTTACCCACTAGCCAACTGATGTTATAGATGAAGAGGTAAAAAAGACAACTGTTGAATAACTCGGAACTGTATGTATAACATCAGGGGCGTCAGGACCTAGAGCTCAGTCACATAGACCACCCTCCCCCATCACCACACACAGAGACACATCATTCCTCCCCCCCCCCTCCCACACACACTAAACATTGTAACCCCTCACCCCTCCTCCCCAAAAAGGAACTGTCAGTAGGTTACCGTGGCCCCTTCCCTATCCCAAACCGTGTATAGAAGTAGTATATATTTAACGTGTCATTTGCATAACCAGTGTGTAACTATTAGTAATTCAGGTATAGTTATATTTTGAGTTGCTAATCAGCACCTTATTATTTTTAGACATGTGGGTCAGACTCCTTGTCTCCCCCCCCCCCCCCCCCCCACCTCTTCCCCCCCCCTTCAATACAATTTGATGGTAGGCTGATGACACCCCCCCCCCCCCCTTTTTTTTTCTATTGTTTCATTTGCATCAACGCCCCTGAAATATGTAAATGATCTAGGTGAATGTACGTACCTAACCTCTTCATGCGCTTGCTCCTCTTGTAGGCCGTCAGCAGGGAACCGAAGATACCACACATGAAGCAGAAGACCAACACGGAGGGCAGAACTAGGGTCACAGTCGTGTCGAAGTAGGTCAGCCCTTCGTTGAAGCGAGAGTATTCTAAGGGCAGTAATCACATCGATGAGCTCAGATTTCAGATTTTTATTTTCACCAGTTCATATTTATTTGTTTAGTGGGCAAGGCAGTGTATGATAACATTTATTATTCTGATATTTATTGCCGTGTCAGCCCTGACCGTGTAACATGAGATAAGTTTGTAATTAAAAATGGAGTGGTTCAGTGGGACGTTTTCTTGCTCCTACCTTCTTTAGACTACACATCTCACTAGTCTTGAAATATTTTTGTCGAGATACATTTACTTAACAATTTAAAAAAAACAACAAAAAAAAAAAAACAACGATATTCTTACGTCCTTTTTAGGACGTAATGTTTTGTTATTCGAAGACAAACTCTGGCTTTTGCCAGGGGCCGCAATATAGGCAGGCCATAAATATGGTTAATTGTCTGAACGCGGTTTCTGGGACCTCTCCACGGCGATCCTCATCCACATGGTGACACTTTGTGTCATCGGGTGTTTATCGCTTGTGTGATGTCCTGGTGGGGTGAAAAGTCAGTCAGTCAGTCTGTCAGATTCGCTGATATTGTCACTATCTATTGATCTCCTAGTGAGATGCAATTTAGCGTTATTTGAAGCCTTATTCTGGCTCTTGTCACGGGCCGCAATATAGCCCGACCATAAATATGGTCTAATGGCTGAACGCGGTTTCTAGGACCTCTCAACAGGTGATCCTCATCCACATGATGGCACTTTGTGTTATCGGGTGTCTATCGCTTGTGTAATGTCCTAGTGGGGTACAAATCTACTACTACTAGATACATTCGTCCATTCTCCACCTCACGGTATCCTAAATAATGCTAGTTGCCTGGGAGCCAAAAATAGGAGAAGAAAGTTAATTCAGAACGCTGCTATTTGCAGATGATGCAGCAATTACCACCCCACGTAGAAGAGAAGCTATAATATTTACTATCTGCATTCGCTGATGCATGCTGTGAGTTTAAACTTACAATCGGTAAAAAAAGGACACAGATTATTATGGTTCAGTGTGTTAATGTCAGACCTACAATCTACATTTGTGATGAGAAGCTGGAGGAAGCTTGATGTTTTACCTTTAGGATGCACGGTGAATAATAAACCATCACTGGATAAAGAAATCAACATCAGGATAGGTAAGAGAGTAACAATAATGAGCAGATTAACCAAAGGTGATTAGAAGAAAAGAAAGCTCACGATTAAAACGAAATTCTTGTCTATCAGGCTCGTGTTTTCAGCCCTCTGCTTTATGGCTGTGAAACTTGGTCAACTTATTCGCACCAAGAGAAACGGCTAAATAGCTTTCACATGCGATGCCTAAAAAGAATTACTGGCATTAAGTGGCAGGACAAGATTACATACACTGAGGTATTGGAAAGAGAAGGTACTACAACGGTGTTCTCAATGCTCAGTCTACAGAGGCTCAGGAGCTGGGCCACACCTGGGAAATGGAGGATGGTAAAGTTCCTAAGGACCTTCTCTACAGTGAAATACAGACTGGTAGAAAATGTCGTGACAGGCCTTAAACTACGATGTTAACATGAATGCAAGAAGGGACATGAAGTTAATTCGTGAGAACTAAAATCCATAGTCTTTGTTGCTGGCGGGAGGAAATCAGAATGCTAATGAGAATGAAGGAGACAATTAATGCAGAAAGGATGAGAGCTGAGCGTCTGAGAAGAAAAACGCTAATAACATGTAATGGCAAAAACGCTCCTGAAATCCCAAGCTATAATTGTGGAAGATGGAAGACTTGTCTTAACGCCGGCGGGTCTTGCTAATAACACTAACCATTGCCATGGGCTGCGAATTCCAAGCCTCTTTAAAACAAAACATGTAATACTATCGTCTGGAAAGGAGAAAAGGTGCCAGCTAATTAATATAATAGGCTGTGTGTACCGAGTTTATCACAGCTTGATTCTGTGTTCCCTTCTACCTCCTGCTATAGGAAACAGCGACCGGAGAGTGATTTGAACAGGCGAAACCAAGAAGTTTAATAATAATTAAAAAAAATAATAATATAACGAAAACAGAATAAAAAAATAAAATTAAAAAAAAAAGAAGGTGAAGGATTAGAGGGATCTAAATATTCGAAAAAAAAAATGATTCAAAGAGTGTTTAAAAAACCGTGTAAACAAAGTAAATGATAACAAAGGGACCAGAAAAGATTGTGATGATGATGATGAATGTGATGATGATAATAATAATGAAGATGATGATGATGACTGAGTTTTAAAGAAAGTTATTAAAAAAAGTGTTAATTAAACCGGTAGAAGACCAAGCGAAGCAGGCTAGACAATTTGTCTTGGGTATAAATAAAAAAGATGTAAATTGGATGCTAATAGAAATAGCCTGAGTGATCCTACCGTTTGACTGTACCCAGGGTAGCACGACAAGCGATCCATAAATTACTTCTCCCAGTCTGTAATTCAATATCTGGTACCCAACAGAGGCCATAATATAGGCCAGATCTTAGCCAAGACGCTCAGCATAACGATTATTGGCTGTGCAACAGCACGAAACAGCAATGACAGACACTCCTGTATAGAGCCTCGGCAGTGACCCAGATTTGTTCTAACAATTCGATGAACATGCTTAACAAGATCGAGAAAAGATTAGCTCGAAGGCAGTGGATGGAGTCTTTGGGGAAATCTGACCATGGATCAGTTTGTGTGTGTATGTGTGTGTTGTGTGTGTGTGTGTGTGTGTGTGTGTGTGTGTGCTAGGGCACTCTGTAGTAAGAGGGAATGAAAGAGCTGATTGTATGGCTGGCAAGGTCACGGTAGGCACAGGAAAAACAATGGACCGAGCCGATGACCTCAATGCTCTCAAGGAGACAGGAGATGCAGAAAATTCAGGAAACGACGGTTAGCCGGCAACCTCGACAAAACTACATGAAGTGCATGACAAAAGAGGTGTTGGTACACACGAACACTATGCAGACAGCCAAAGAAGAATAGTAAACTAACACAGAGCTGGTTTTATCAAAACCCATATTCTGATATGCAGAAGACAGGATCGAGCACTTGTGGACATCTCCTATGTGCGATAAGGAATTCCTCGTTTGTTTTTCTTCACAGTGTTCTTAAAACCACATCTCCACTGCGTTTTCATGTTTTTCAGTTTGTCTGAGCATTGTCAACATCGCACATGCATAAAACACTACAGGTCCTACAAAGCACTGTAACACTATTTTTTTTCTCAGTGCTGTTGACATCTGCATGTTATCTACGCAAAGAAAATTTACATACTGTTGTTGTTTTAATTACAATTCATTGTCAAAAATAAGTCTATTTTACTTATCTGTACATACTGTTGTTGTTTTAATTACAATTCATTGTCAAAAAAAAGTATATTTTACTTATCTGTACATACTGTTGTTGTTTTAATTACAATTCATTGTCAAAAATAAGTCTATTTTACTTATCTGTATATTGTTTTCCCAGCAACAGCTAGCTAGCTCCCCGACTGTTTTATGTGGTAACCCGAGAGGTTATCAATACTGCAGACTACATGCTAGTTTGTTTGGTAAATCACCGAGAACTAGAATCGCAGCCTCAAGGGAACAACTACCGCTTAAAGCAGGTTTCAACATTGAGATTTCCAACAAACTACTCTGCTAAACCAACAGTGTGTGTATATATGTGAGAGAGTGTGTGTGTGTGTGTGTGGGGGGGGGGGGATGTAGACGACACTCCTTTATCTTCCCTGACGGATATTGCGTAAAAAAAAAAAAAACTGGTGCTCTAGCAGTCCTTCAGTTCACGTGTTCACAGACAGTTTCTGGCTTTCAAATTTGTTAGTTGTAATCATAAATTCTAGATTAAATCAAACTAATAATTCCTCTGAAATGTCATGGTCAACGCAAGGACGTTCAAAACTGTGATTAACATTGTTGAACCGAAACAAAATTACCCTAAACAGGTTATTTAGTGACCCAAGTGGGGGTATAATGAGGGCAGTCAGGTAAATAATGCATGGGGATTATCTCATGCTTAACATCAGGGTCAGTGGAGACAGGATATTGAATTCTTGCATGCTTATAAAATCAATTTATACATATTGCAGAATGTGCCTGGTCACTAATTTGGAGTTTTGTGAGAAGATTACACGAATTCCTGCCCCCCCCCTTCCCCCCAAAAAAAATGAGGTGACCAAAAGACACTGAGTTAAATAGGGCACACATTTTTGAAATATGATACAAATTTACAACTGGAATGTCCTTGCACCGATGCTCACAGAATGAAAAAACAGGACACAAAAACACACACACAGAGATCGAGAGAGACAAAGGAGAGGGAGAGAGAGAGAGAAAATAGAGGAGGGCATAGAGTAAGGTGTCAGCTATGGTAATGGACAGAATAATTTGGCGTAGCTCGATTTCGGAAAAAGAAGAAGCAGAAGAAGAAGTATTAGAGGAAGAAAAAAAGAGACAAGTATTAGAAGAAGAAGAAGAAGAAGAAGAAGAAGAAGAAGAAGAAGAAGAAGAAGAAGAAGAAGAAGAAGAAGAAGAAGAAGAAGAAGAAGAAGAAGAAGAAGAAGAAGAAGAAGAAGAAGAAGAAGAAGAAGAACAAGAAGAAGAAGAAGAAGAAGAAGAGAAGAAGACACACAAAGAAGAAGAAGAAGAAGAAGAAGAAGAAGAAGAAGAAGAAGAACAAGAAGAACAAGAAGAACAAGAAGAACAAGAAGAAGAACAAGAAGAAGAACAAGAACAAGAAGAAGAACAAGAAGAAGAACAAGAGAAAGTAATCAAAAACAAGAAAAACAATAAAAGCAGCAAAACTGGGGAGGAAAATCCACGAAAAACAGGACGACGAACAAACAGCCAAAAGCAAGTGACGATGATACTCACCAGGCACCAGTGAACAGGTGCTGACATTTTCGGACAAGGTGCTGTGTGTGGTCCACAGAGGGAAGTTGTAGCAGAAGATTGATGTCAAACCCAGCACCAGGAGCACCACTCGCGCCTTCCCTGGGGTGCACAGAGAATGTACTCGGTAAGGGTGCCGGATCCGGATGTAGTTCTCCACGGTGACCATGACAACCAGCCAGACGGAGAGAAAGCCGCAGATGTAGGTGATGAAGATGATCATCTGGCAGACGCCATGCCGATGAAACCAGTGGACCTCGATCCTGGGGGACAGCCAAGAAACACTGGTGAATGTTTAGTATTAGTTCAGGGAAGTCGTATCTATGGGATATAGTTGCTCCATTGATAGTGTTTATATTGGGGCTCATTGAAAAGAATGGTAAAGAGAAAGGCTGGAAAAAAAAGAGGGGGGGGGGGGTAGTTTCACTGCGGCTCAACGAGCACATCGTACAAGACTACTTAATGGGGTTTAATGAAATCGGATGTCTTGGGCAGAAAAGCGCTGATATCGGAACCCTGCTGTAAAGAAGGATATTAAGCTGAAATGGGTGGATGGATGAAAGGCGAACAAATTGGAGAAATACCTGGGCAACCGCTGACGTCAAAAATTATAGGACAAAGAGGCAGACTGGCTAACTATGAGGAAAAGTCAATAGAGAATCATAAGACAGGCACTGCAATGAGAAACACACAGACTGCGAAATGCAAAACAAATGGATTCAGGAAACCAGGACGTCTAAAAGAAACCATAAAGCGAAGACAGATAAAAGAGGCCATCAGTTCTGGATTGTATTCTAGCCATGATATGAACAAGATTTCACACATTAAAACAGAAGGGAGGACAAGATAGCGAGCCTAATGTGACAAATAAAAACATAAGACAAGGAGAAATAATTGTGAGCGACAGAGGTAGCCATGGAGAAAAGAAAATGGAAAACGACCAGAACTGTGATGGCTAAAATTTGTCAATAATGTGAAAACAATATAAGCAAACAAGTACATATATTTATATCAATGGCGAATGCTTAAGACACCTTGTAATCTTCATGTAAATCTGTACTTTCATTTAGAATTCCGTCCTACCATCTTCCCTTCATGTATTTGGGCATTCATTCCGTCATTCATCCAAATCAAGACACGATAGAGACAGCACGGATAAAACAACAAACTAAAAAGTACCACAACTGTGTTGTGTAGCATAAACAAGAATGTAATGCGGCTCATGGTCTCCACCCACTGTTCTCATAATGTCCTGGCAAATTACTTTCTCCCCTCCATTATTGCAGTCTGGAGGATTCACATCTTACAAACGAGAATCATATAGGTACAAACCCAAAGACCCCGCGGAACTGTACATCTACAGAGCAAGATTATGTACGTTCCTACATCGCAAACTGGTTACCACGTAAGCTTATTCCAGTCTGGGTGGGTCTTTATCGCAAGCAAAATTGCTTCAATTATATGGGGTGATAACTACTTCCGGCAGACATCGTAGGCGGGTGAACTTTCTTGAGTTTAAGTTGAACAAAAAAAAAGTAATGGACACTTTTCAACACCTTTAGGCGTGTATGTAGGACATATAGGGCTAGACGTACATTTTATATAATCGGCACAAGATGGGTGATGTGGTCAGCATCACACCGGCCGCCTTTACTTCCCGGGACTGCACCCGGTACCCACTCAAGGCTGGGTCGACCTGGGAGTCAAGGCCTTTTTTGAGACAAGTCCGGCTCCTCCAGGGAGCAAACCCACGAACTTCCGATCCACAGGCGAGCGTCTAGCCGCTCCGCCACAGCGACTCCCACTTCCTTGAGTATTTGCCTGGTGTAGACTGGTAAGAGCCCAGTCGATTCTTATTATATTGAGTTTGTTGTTGTTCTTTCTTCTACACGTGATTATTTTGTGAATAAGGAAGTGTCTATTTCTGTTCTGTAAGCAGCTTTAAGGATTTCCATGCTTGTCTTTCCTACTCTGTTCCTTGCTTGTTTTGAATTAAGGCGCATTTGTCAATAAATTCTGCCCTAAATATGTTGATCCTACCGCAGTTATTCATAGATTGTCTTGTAATCCTCACTTAAAGCTACCTTCACACGACATTTCATTTAATCATTCATAAAATCACTAAGTCTTTCTTTCTTTCTTTCTTTCTTTCTTTCTTTCTTTCTTTCTTTCTTTCTTTCTTTCTTTCTTTCTTTCTTTCTTTCTTTCTTTCTTTCTTTCTTTCTTTCTTTCTTTCTTTCTTTCTTTCTTTCTTTCTTTCTTTCTTTCTTTCTTTCTTTTTCTTTCTTTCTTTTCTTTCTTTCTTCTTTCTTTCTTTCTTTCTTTTCTTTCTTTCTTTCTTCTTTCTTTCTTCTTTCTCTTTTTCTGTCTGTCTGTCTGTCTGTCTGTCTGTCTGTCTGTCTGTCTGTCTGTCTGTCTGTCTGTCTGTCTGTCTGTCTGTCTGTCTGTCTGTCTGTCTGTCTGTCTGTCTGTCTGTCTGTCTGTCTGTCTGTCTGTCTGTCTGTCTGTCTGTCTGTCTTTCTTTCTTTCTTTCTTTCTTTCTTTCTTTCTTTCCTCTTTCGCTATTTCTTTTTTTCGTTCTTTCTTTCTTGTTTTCTTACTTTTTTTGTTGTTGCTTTCATTCAAACATTCTTATTCTCTTTCTTCTTTCTTCATTCACATATTCTCACTCCTGTCCTTCTTTCCTTCTTTTTATGCCCCCTCCTCCTTCTTGCCATCAATAATTGTGAAACTCGAGAAATCCCTAATGCCAGCAACTACCCTCGACCAACTCGAGACAAACATGGCATTCTCAGATGCCAAGATTTCAAGGACACACAACAGAGCTCGTGCGGTAAACGAGATTCAATTTGATTGAGTTTTTTTTTTTATAAGATTTTTTTTTAAATAGATATTTTAGTTTATGATTTTTTTTCCTATTTCGTTCATAATTCAAATTACTATTTTATAATAAATAAATAAATAAATATATAATAATAAAATAGTAATTTATATATATATATAAGTGTGTTGAGGGGACAAGAGGGAAACAGTGCTGTGGCGGCGGGGGTATGTGGAGGGTGCGGGAGGGGGGGGGGTATGGTGGCTTGACTGGTTGGTAAAAACACATACATTGAGATACTACGGGACGGGGACATTTGCAGTCTGAGCGTCGACAGTGTTCCAAAAGTACTCTTGTGGCAAATCAGGCAGGCGATGCTTGAGTGAGGTTTTTAAGGACAAATCAGTGGGTGATGCGGTCACCATCAGAGCTGTAGTAGTAGTGATTGTTGTAGTTGCTGTAGTAGTAGAAGAAGAAGAAAAAGAAGAAGAAGAAGAAGAAGAAGAAGAAGAAGAATAAGAAGAATAATAATAAGAAGAAGAAGAAGATGAATAAGAATAAGAAGAAGAAGAAGAAGAGGAAGAAGAATAAGAAGAACAAGAAGAAGAAGAACGAGAGAAGAACAAGAAGAACAAGAAGAAGAAGAAGAAGAAGAAGAAGAAGAAGAAGAAGAAGAAGAAGAAGAAGAAGAAGAAGAAGAAGAAGAAGAAAAGAAGAAGAAGAAGAAGAAAATTAAGAAGCAGAAAATAAAGAAGAAGAATAAATGAATGAATAAATGAATGAATGATAGAATTAATTAATTAACGATAAAAAGAAAATAAAAACGAAAAAAAAAAAAAAACATAAAAAAACAAAGAAGCACCGAAACTTAGAATGAAAGACGGAAAGAAAGAAACAAAAATAGGGAAGAGGAAAGGGAAAAAAAATGAAAGAAAGAATGAACTGGTGATACGCTAACAGACAACAACTTTCATTAATGTGTGTGTGCTTCGTGAAAATAAATCAAGAGACTCACCTGTCCAGCCAAACAACAAACAAGGCAGCAAGGAAAAGCGTGTCGGTCAAACATTTTGTCATCAGGTACATACAGCAGGACTTCTTCTTCAGTGACCGGCTCATGAAAATACTGACCGATGTCAAGTTGCCCAAGAGTCCGATCAGGCACAGAATCGGGATGATGAACTTCTGCAAGTTCCGGATGGAAACGTAAGTAGGATCGTCACTTCCATCATCGGGACGGCTTGTGGTCACAATGGCAGTGTCTTTGAAACTTGCTGTCAGGTTATAGCTAGAGAAATTCGTGTATATAAGGACAGTTTCCATATTTGTGTAGGTTCGAACCTCTGACATTGGCGAGGTTGTGTATGTCCAGAGATAAACAGGTTTTAATGTGAACAATCTTTCTGGAAGATGAAAAATGGACAAGTATCCTGTCCATTTGTAGATGTGGTGGCCGCAATCATTTTATATATTTGTTATAGCTATAGAGAAGCTACAGACGTTTGTGTATATTAATACAGTTTTCATATTTAGGTAGATTTGAACCGCTGACTTCAGAAATGATGCGTAGACGAATAAGTGTTGATGTGAACATCTTTCTAGACGATGAGAAATGGACAATTATTCTCTGCATTTCTAGACGATGAGAAATGGACAATTATTCTCTGCATTTCTAGACGATGAGAAATGGACAATTATTCTCTGCATTTCTAGACGATGAGAAATGGACAATTATTCTCTGCATTTCTAGACGATGAGAAATGGACAATTATTCTCTGCATTTCTAGACGATGAGAAATGGACAATTATTCTCTGCATTTCTAGACGATGAGAAATGGACAATTATTCTCTGCATTTCTAGACGTGATGACAGCAAACATTTGGCAGAAGTTCCAAGATGCGTTAATGTTATTATTGTATTTGAAATATTATTATTATTATTGTTATTATTATTATTTTTTTTTTGACGACACGACTGTGTGGTTGAATATTATGGTGAATATTTCAGAAGCTTTCTGTGTCGTTGACTGATATTTATGTTCACATCACCGCAGTGTGTGAAGTTCGAAGACTCTGTGGCTTTGCAAACACATAGATGTGGCCTAGCACTATTAAATGCGGAACGCTGTCATATATGTAGACAGGGGAATCAGAGCACCTTTGGACGGATCCGGAGTGTCGTGATAACCATCTCATAACACAAAAAATCCATTTTAAGTGTATGGTTTAATGAGGAGTGTGTGGAAGTGGGAGAAGGGAGGGTGTGAGTGTGTGAAATCTCCGTTAATTTATCATACAAACATATTTCATTGTCTGCCTTACCAGCAGGTAGTCGCTTCGTTTATCAGTTATTACTTCTGATAACTATGAACTCAGTTTGCGGTAGAGGTTGATGAAATGACGTCCAGGCTGCAGCTCATACGGTCACAAGGGTACTGAACTGCAGGCAGCAGCTCGGAGAGGCACCAAGTAAGATATCGGTTGATTAAAACAATTATTACATCGCCAGGTTGATCAGCTTGCCTCCTGTGAAGAAAAAAAAAGGATTAAAGTTTTCTGAAAGACGAAAAGCTACCACTGAATAATTATCTGACGTTACGTAACATTTTGAAAAAGTCAAAGATATTCTGTCTGAGGTAATCCGAGGACATAAATCGTTCTGCCCATTTGTAACATGGTTTCAATATTCGCTCCTTTATGCCGACACATCCGACTTCTTAAAGCATTTGTGCTTTGTTAGCCTACCCGAAAGTTATCGTGTTTGTGAAGTCCTACTTCATATTTCATGTAAAAGAAACGTGACAAACGAAACACATAACGTCATAAAAATGTGCCCTAAAGTCGATAGCGAAGCAAAATGCAGCGAATAGCTATCGTTTGCTGCAGTAATTCACTCAAAACAGAATGGTGATATCCATTGAAGCAATAATACTTATCATTTAAGAAATAACAACAGGCACGTTGTAGAAGGTATTCGACCATATAAAGAGACGTATACAGTCATGGCTTGAAGCCAATTGCTGACATTTGCATCATCTCTAATGATGCGTGGTGGGTAATAAACAGGCAGATTGGCTGGATCTGCACCACTCGGTGGTAAATTGATACATGACAACGCAGATGTGGTCAAGACCCTTTGGGAACAAGCAACGAAATCAGTAGAGATAGAAGATTATTATGGTCTGGAGAGTATGAGGCACCTGGATGTAACCAGAGCGTCTGGCCGGCTCACTACACTCAGAGGAAAGGCAAGACCGACAGATAACCAGATTGTGACCAGTACCATCAGTATTGGAACTCTGCTCTGGCTGCTGAAGATGAGGACGGGGCATGCATGGGAATGCTCCCAAGTGCCGTGATGTCAATTTTTGACTCAACTTAACTCTTATAATGAATATTTCATTGGTACTTTCCAGTGTTACCAAAACATCGTTAGACCATATCAGTGACTATTATAATCAATTTAATGACCTTTTAAACATATTTTTGTGATAAAGTCATGTACTTTGATTTTTCCGATTTGTTCTCCATTCAAAGTGTTGTAAGATTTGCAAACACTCTGTAGTAGAGACGATCGATTTCGTTGCATCAGGCTATCACATTTTGTTCGGTCTCCTTCTGTAGAACGGTTAGCTTGAGATCGTCGCACAAATTGAGAACCCTGTAACTCCAGCGACGATGCCCAGGCATATCTGTAAAACTGTAAAAACTGTAATAGTGTACTGAACGATGCGCCCGTGAAGCGAACCCACGCCCTTCAGAGCGCAAGGCAAACGGCTTGACAAATTCGTCACGGTGACCCCCGGTTTTATTGTAATCCACGCGGCAAATGACGATGGGTTTAGGTGACGCTCTAAGTGGCGAGGATTCAGTTTAGGACTCCCACATTCCGTTTAGGAAAAGCAGGGATTGGCCAGCAGGATCTGCAGAATCAACAATTCAAGAACTGATACATGAGAATTCATGTTTAGAGCATGGGATTATACAAATTGCTCTGCGCTAAGAGGCTAGAAATGTGCCTGGAGTTCATTGCGAAACCCAGTGGGTGAGATTTAGAGCCAAAACTTGAACAATACCCACGCACGAATCAATCTTTATGATCTGGAGAAGAAATAGTACCGTTGGAAGAAGCTTGAGTATCTCGTCAACACAGCACCCACAGCAAGACGAACATATAACCGAATTGATGTTGGTATCATAGGAATTGTAAATCTTCGCTGGCTGCTGAGTATGAGGGCAGGGCGCTTATGTGAATGTCCCCAGTGCTATGATGTCGGTTTTTTAGCTCAAGGGGAGCCGCTGTGTTCTAGCAGCTAGACGCTCGCTGCAGATCAGAAAAAAAAAGGGGGGGGGGGGTACTAATGGAGCAATGATGCGCAATACAAGACTCTTAATGTCTATTAGCCTCTCTTGCTCAAGCCTACCTCACCTTCACGTGGTGGACCCTGTTCTTCCCCGCAATCCAGTTGAAGGCTGGGGTCTCAACCCCCAGCGGGAAACTGGATGGGACAACAAACGAGGTAAAGGCGAAAGACGAATGGATGAGCTGACACCCCTCGAGTATGACCACAGTCTACCCTTGCAAAACAAAGTGCAAATAGCCAAGAGGCGCACCACAGCAATCAGGATGCCACGCACACACGCTATGGAAATATGTCTAAATCAGCAAAACGTTATGGTGCTCGCCCTGTGATGGACTCTCAGGCAGGAGCAGCGCCGGGCCCTCTGTCTCGAAAACGGCGAACGAAAGAAGAAGATCAGAAGTTCGTGTGTTCAGGTCCTGACGGCTCAGGACTCCCAGGTCGACCCAGTCTTGAGTGATACTAGGTACAGTCTTGGGAAGTAAAGGCGGTCCGCGTGAAGTTGAGCACATACCCCACCAAGTGCCGCTTGGTCCTTTAAAATATAGGTCTAGCTATATAAACGCAATATGCCTAAAGGCGTGGAAAAGGGACACAATTTAGCTGTCGCTTCATTGAACCCCTTCAACGAGTTATTCACTGGTTTTAAGCTCAACCACTCGGAATAGGACGTGTTAAATTGTCGGATTCCCCGTGTGGGTTCCGGGGCCCCATTGTGGGGGAAAACAATAATAGACCCACTGCCTTCCCAAAAGCATGTCGTAAGAGTCGAATAATTGGGGAGCTTCCTTTGAAGTCTGAGTGCATCTGCCGGAGAGGCAATTAACCAACAGTCTGTATTCAAGAGAATGAGAACTGTAAAACTGATGCATACGCGACACTCAGGTTCTGGAGCAGGACTGCAGTTCAGTAGTGGACGAGCAACCAGAACTTTCCGCCAGAGTGTACAGCTGGTGAACGCGAAAAAGAAGAAGAAGAATAATCGGATTGTTGTGACTGAAAGAGATAAACCAACCTACTGCAGACAGAGAAATCATTTAGGCAAGAACAGCAGCACACGCAATCCCTCTGTGTGTTGGCGTGTAACGGGGGCAACCCAGAAATGTTTAAAAACAATTCAGCATGGAAACAATATATCACTATTAATACTTTAAGTCCCAAACAACGTGTTGCGTGTGATCAGCTATTTTTCGTGCGTAATAAAAAAAAATGGGTGCTACTGAAATTGCTTCATTCAGCTAATGCACACAGGTAAAGCATTTAATAAAACTTCCGGCTTATATTCGTGGTAGTAGTAGTCGATTTTTACCCCACCAGGTCATCACACAAGCGATAAACACCTGATGACACAAAGTGCCACCATGTGGATGAGGATGAAAGGAAAGGAATGACCACCCATGAATACATACATTTTAAAGTGTCTTGTTCCACAATGAAGATCGGATGAAAGGAAGGGTCGCACATGCATACATACATTTTAAAGTGTCTTTTCCCACATTGAAGATCGGATGAAAGGAAGGGTCGCACATGCATACATACATTTTAAAGTGTCTTTTCCCACATTGAAGATCGGATGAAAGGAAGGGTCGCACATGCATACATACATTTTAAGTGTCTTTTCCCACATTGAAGATCGGATGAAAGGAATGGCTAGCCATGAATGCATACATTTTAAAGTGTCTTGTTCTACATTGAAGATCGGATGAAAGGAAGGGTCGCACATGCATACATACATTTTAAGTGTCTTTTCCCACATTGAAGATCGGATGAAAGGAATGGCTAGCCATGAATGCATACATTTTAAAGTGTCTTGTTCCACATTGAAGATCGGATGAAAGGACGGGTCGCACATGCATACATATATTTTAAGTGTCTTTTCCCACATTGAAGATCGGATGAAAGGAATGGCTAGCCATGAATGCATACATTTTAAAGTGTCTTGTTCCACAATGAAGATCGGAT